TTAGGGACGGGGGGGGGTCAGGGAACAAGGAGCAGGGGGGGTTGGATGGGTCAGGAATTCTGAGGGGGCAGGGGCCAGGCTGTTTGGGGAGGCACAGCCTTCCCTACCCTGCCCTCCATACAGGTTTGCAACCCTGATGTGGCCCTTGGGCCAAAAAAAAGTTTGCACACCCCTGGTGTAGCAGATTGCCCCCACTCAAAGACATACCATAATTCACCACAAAGCTGTGTGTTCTACACATCTTAAAAACAAAACAACAAAAGTTTGCTGCTTTATAGTTCCTGCAGTAGAACTAGGTGAATAAATGAAGGTTGCAATTGGGGCATCTCTGCTGCAAGGAAAGCATCTACTATCTTTGCAGACAAAACATTCTAGCATTTCATCATATCTTCTCAAGGCCCACCATAAGCACATAACCATGCCTTCTAACTAGCATTCATATTACTTGAGAAAGTTCTCTGAATAAATGAGGCAAACAAAATTTAAGGGGCAAATTTTTACAGAAATTTAAAAATAAGATTCTCCTGATCTACAATGCACCACTTACCATTCTTGCTTCCCTCTAACCTCAAGCAAGTTACACACAAAACATATACACTAAGAGAACCTTAAAAGTGGCAAAGTCAAGCACTCAAAATGTTAGGAAACAGAATTACGGCTGCCTGTGCAACCTCAATTTGGCTCCCTTGCACATATGCATTATGATACAGTCTTCAGCTACATGACTACATATTCTTTTTCCACAGGACCCCTGCTTCACTTCCCTCCTACATTTAGGAACCCTCACCCATTGTCCCAACATAAATCCATAATTTAATTCATTCCTCCATTCTTGGCTTTAGTGTGTATTTTATGAATGCTGCCTCTTTACTACCTACTACTTCAACAAGCTTACACGGTAGTTTGGCATGTCCTTACCAGGTGAATATTGTATGTTTTACATGTCAGATCGTCCAAGCTCTGGTTCTGCAGCTTTTCCGTTATTAGTGTTACCATGGTAGTTGTCCCTTTGCCACTGCTCACACTGAGAAGTGTTGGAGGCTCCTCTGTGTCCTGTTTCAGTATTCGTGAGCCATTTCTGGTTCTGTTCTAAATCTCAAGATTTATGCTTTCATCTTACTGCCAAAGTTTATATCCAAAGGCCTTCAGTGTATCATGTCTGCTTTTCTGTAAAGTTGGAAGGGAGGAAGGAAAAAAAGTCAGCTTTGTACCCAACAAATTCTTTACAATAACTGGATTTATACTTAAGGACCTTTCACATATAGCCAAAGATGTTAGTACCCCCAAATTTATCTTGCATTTTTTTCCCCTTGCCTCACAGATTACAGGTCTCATTTCACGAAGTATGGCTCCTACTGCTGTTATACTGATCACTGACAATTACCACCACAAAGGCGGAAGTCACATCTCAGTAATTTTGCTTGTCAGCCCTTATTTTTCTCTCTTCCCACAAGACATTCTATATAGCAACCAGTATGCTCTATCGAAAGACTCCTTTCTCTCATTAAAAAAAAAAAAATCACTAAAGCAAAATTAGTGACAGGTGTGTGTAGAAAAGCAAGTTTATATAAGAGGAAGGACGAACAAATGTAGAATCTTGTTTCGTAAAACAGGAAAGATCTTCAGGCTACTCAACATAATGGATATTATGTTTCCCAAATAGGCCCCTCTGGCAGCTCTAGCTGAAAGATTTGTGTGTGTATGAACAGAATGGGATAGAGGTTTTTTTGAATACATTTTCTGCTTCCCTATATTTCTAGGTACATATGTATAGAGACCAATAACGCTTATAAAAATGTATATTTAACGATTATAATTACTGATCTTCAGCTAAAATTGGATCTTAGAGTTGTAAAACAGAAAGCTGACTGAAAGGTAAACGTGCATTCTAAATACACATTTTAAAGTGAAGAGAACATTTCCTTGGTGAGCAATAAAGAGAAACCAACAGTAAGCTCACTGCTGTGCATGCTGTGCCCTGGTCAGCCCTTACCTACCTTTATTTTTGCTGTCCCTACTATCACCATTGCCCAGAAAGTAACCTCTCTTTCATCAGGCCTCTTCTTCGAAGATCATTAGCTACCTACTTAACATCAAGAACAGTCTTACCAAAGCCACCCCCCATCATGTTTGCTCGTTTTCTCTAACTCTCCTCTTGTTCCTTGCACTTCTCCATGCAATGATGTAAATCTCTCTTCTTTTTTGGTTTTCCATCTTCTACCTTAGATCCCTCTAGGCTTCCAAACTCACTTCTACCTTTGTCTCAGCAATAATTTCTCTACACCCAACCTTCAGTGAACTTTTGTCCCCTATCTTAGCTTACTTATTTCAGACTGTCCGCTTTTAAACGTAGGGACACATCACACTGCCTTTGTAAACACATCATGTAAATTTATAGTACCAAATAAAAATGATTAATAAGTGAGACTGATTCACTTTAAACCATGTGCTTTGTGAAGCATCAGGAAGAGATGCTGCACTTGCATTTATACAAAACTAGAACAGAGAGCTATTTATACCCAAGCACATATTCAGAGATGCAAGTCAAATGTAAAGTAACCAAAGACTGTTTACTCTTCAAAATTGTTTTGCAATGTTGGGAATGGCCAAACAGGAAGAGACGCAACAAATTAAAAGAGGCACCAAACCATCAACAAGTTTTGTTTGCATTCAACAGGATACTTTTTTAAAAAAACTTTTATATTTGAATTTGTGATAAAGAGACAAGGTGGGTGAGGTAATGTCTTTTATTGGACCAACTTCTATTGGTGAGAGAGACAAGCTTACACAGAGCTCTTCTTCAGGTCTGGGAAACGTACTCAGAATGTCACAGCTAAATACAAAATGGAGCAGATTGAAATGTGTGTTAACCATGTATGGTAAACAATCTGTTCCATTTTGTATTTAGCTGTGACACTCTGAGTACGTTTCCCAGACCTGAAGAAGAGCTCTGTGTAAGCTCAAAAGCTTGTCTCGCCCACCCATAGAAGCTGATCCAATAAAAGACAATACCTCACCTACCTTGTCTCTAACCGACCGACACAGCAACAACACTGCATACAATTTGTGATAAAAACAGATTAATCTAAGGAATATTGGAAAATAAGTGATTGTTTGTAATATAAACTTACAAAATATACTTCAACATATTGTATTTATATTTTAAATATGTCCGGTATTTTCCACATATACTAATCAGTTTCTTAAATAACTGCTAATAGTAAGCCAGAGGTTATTTGGGTACATGATTTAAGTTAAAGCCATTTAAAACCTAGGTATTACCCATACAATACTGCCTAATTATCTTTAAACCGGTCACCTAGACGTACATCCTGAGAATATAATTCCATATTATAGCCCTACATAACAGCAGATCTCTTTGGAAACAGTAAAATTGCTGGGATAATATAAATATGCTGCTGTCACTCTTCCTGCCCCTCACTCCACTCTGATTTTACTTGCCATGAAGTAGGTATTGTTTAGGATAACACTTGGATGCTTCCTAGGAGCACTAAAGCTTCATTGGTCTGTTTCTACAGAAATGCAAGCTAAAAGCACAATGCTGTCTTGGTTTATAAGCACCCAAGACTCAAAACGTTTGCCAATGCCTCTCCTGAAATCCAATCAAATCTCTGAATCAGAAATTGAAAAAAACTCCTACAGAGCACTGATGCACTCATCACTAAGAAGAGTGTGGTGTTGTTTTTAAAAAAAAGTAAAGTGTCTGCCATACCATACAACACAACTTAAGGCTGCTATCATATTCTGTTCTTATATCTATAAATGCATGCACACAGCCAAATGTTATGCACAGGCAACCTGACTGACTTCACTGGAAGTAAGTAGGCATAACCAAGAAAAGGAGTCTGTCTCAAAGTCTAGAAAGCTGTAGCATTTTATCTGAAGTTGGGTTTTGCCATTTACTATGCGTCCATCAATTCAGAGGAGGAGTATATGTTATTAAAAGATATTTCATTTTGACATATTAATGCAAAGGCTTTCAGATTAAGAAACTATCATAGGACAATTACTCCAGAAGGGCAGCCACCAACTCCTGCTAAGCTTTTCAGCTGCAGTTTCATTCCACCTCCTTTCCCTTTTCTTCTGTAAGTAGAGTCGTGCAAAAACTTACAAAATCGTCTGCTTAGAAAGGACAGGTAGGCAAATCCAATCAAACTAGCAGAGAAAAAAGTGACTGATGATACACAAAGGAACATTTACATAATGGATATAGAAAGTACCAGCTAGAACAAGACTATATACTAAAGGTTTTTCTTTGCATCATATTGTAGAATCTTAAACCTTAGTTCAATTAATGCATCTTATTATGCAAAGTAAGTGGAGTGGATAAGGCTATTGGATACTAATTTTTAATCAATTGGACATTCCAGACCACAACTTAAATCGAGAAAAAGAATTCTTGAACTAGCATGGCACACTATTTCAAACTCAGATTAAGCAACCTGCCATCAGGGAGCTGTCACCTTTATTAGTTCCAGATAATCACAAAGATGGATAAGTTACCGCCCCCCCCCCTTTTTTTTTTTAAGTGGAGACTCATTAAGGCAATTTTCTGCTACTGGGCAATTTACACGGTTTATATTTTCCTCCATATGTACTGTCATTACTGTACATGTACATTCATAAGACTGAACCACAAGCATAGGTCTAGTTTGTATCTTCCCTCCTTCTCCCCCCACCCACTCCTTCACCCAAAGCTGATCCTACTGGGAAATTCAAAGTGAGACTTTAAAAAGAGACCCATGTTCAATACAGTTACCTGTGAGAAGTTACTAGGTTTACCAAAGCTGTGGAAGATAGAGTATGTACTACAAAGATAAATTACATTAGTCAGACTAATTTGTTTAACTTTCTACTAGATTTCAGCTCCTGTCATTCCTGTTGGGAAATCCCAGCTTTCAGCACTTCGTAATCACAGAGTGAGAGACTGCAGTGGACATCTCAGTGTGGTTACGACAGCACTCAGACCACTGCTAAAAATTAAAAGTTTTCTTATAAAGGTAACTATTTTGAGGTAACCTGCATGTTAACTGACGTGTTCTCATACATAGGCATCCACAGTTCTTTATACCATTCATCGATTAGAGCGGTTCACTCCACCAAAAATTCAACAATTTTTCTTTCCCCGTTTCAATTCAGACCTTCCCCTTTGCTGGACAAACTACAGCACAGCGCTCTAATCCCAGTCTGCTTTGTCACTTCTTATACGGGCTACTGAGTCAGAATGCTAATGCCTCGGAAAAAACTAAATTGTTCAAGCTACCGATGGAGTAGTTTCTTCTTAAGCTTGCCAGTTAGTAGTTAGTTTATGCCATTAAGTATGAGTTTCTCTCTCTCTCTTCTAAAAGAAAAAGAAATCCTCCTAAAACATTACTGTAGATGGTCTCAATTTATACCGATAGACCATCTACCTAAATTGATACTTTTTTAATCCTACCAAAATCAGCCTCAATATCTTGTGGCAGCAAGTTCCACTGGGTTACTATGAGTTACGACTTAAAACAAACAAACAAAAAAACCCACACAACCTATTTCCTCATATCTGTTTCAAATTTTGTGCTTTTAAAGTCTCTAGATGTGCCCCCCAATCTATTGTTAAGCCATCGGTAACTACAATCCTGGTTGGTGGAGGATAAGCAAAGGATACACCCTTCCATACATTGTTCTGATCTGCCCACCACTCTAGGGACTCCAGAACTGCTGAAGGTACTCAGACTAGGCTGTTGAAACATTTCCCAAATCATCAATTTTTGAATTTCAGCCATCCTTGCAGAGTACGGAAGTGCAATCTCACATGCTGAACTACATAAGTACATGAAGCCATGAGGGCTAGCAATGTCAAGCATACCCAGTGGTTGAGAGGTGAAGATTTCAGACACGGATATAGGCAGCGAATTGTCTGAAATGACTTGTGTGAGAGAAAGGCCCTCGCACTTAGTCTAGTAGGGCCCCAATGAAATCCATTTTTTGTTTTGGAATTAATGTGGACTTCCCTTTGTTCAAAATCAGCCTCAGCCAATCAAAGAGACAGTATGAACTGGACTTGATGGTGAACTTGGTCTTTGGACTTGCCCCTCGCTAGCCAATCATCCAGATAAGGGATGATGTGAATCCCTGTTTTCCTGACATAGACTGCTGTTACAATTATGCATTTGGTAGATATACACAAGGTTGAGGGCAAGCCAAAGGGAGTACTGTGTATAGATAATGTAGTGGTGGGTCAACAAATCTCAGAAACTTCCTGGGGCTTCACATAACTGATACATGAAAGCAGTGTTCTTGAAGATCGAGGGCAGCAAGCAAGTCATTGTGATCCAATGCAGGAAGAATTAGAGCTAGGGTTTCCATGTGGAATTTCATATTTGATAGAATGTTGAGACTTCAAAAGGTCAACAATACGTCTGACCCCTCCCTTGAGCTTGCGAATCAGGAAGTAATGGGAGTAGAATCCCTTTCCCCAAATGATGAAGGGCAACATTTTCTATGATTCCCAAACCTGAGTCTTAAATCTGCTGAAGAAGCAGTAACTTATGAGAAGTATCCCTCAAAAGGGATGGGGCAAGGGAGGAGATGGTTTAGGAACTGGATGGCATATCCTGATCCCACAGCTCTCAGAACACATTTGTCTGTGGTTATTGTTTCCCCAAGCCTTGTAGTAGTGGAACAGCCTGTCCCCAAACAGGAAGATACGGTCAGGGAAGTTGTTGACAAGTAGTAGCTGACCTCAAGAGAAGAGTTAAATTGACTACTAGCTCAAAGCTAACGAAGAATAATATGGTTGGTTTCCCAGAGGGCCTTCTTCTCTGTGACTTGCGTTTCCTTTTGGAGACATCTTGTTGCCTAACAAGAGAAGTTGGCTGTCTGAAATACTCCTGGGAGTATTGATGATACAGTCGTTGCTGTCCACTCTTAATAGCTGGGGTATAAACTCCCAATGTGCACTAAGTGGTTCAAGTGTCCTTAAAAGAATGCAGTGTTCCACTATTTTTCTTTTCGGAAAACAAGAACAGGCCATCAAAAGGTAAGGCTTCTATATTTTGTTGGACCATGAGAGCTACCCCAAAGTTCTGAACCCAAGAAGCTTCTCTCATTGTTACAGCTGAGGCCATAATCCTGAAGGAAGCATCTGCTACATCAAGTGCTGATTGCAGTGACATCTTACCTGCAAACCTGGACATCCTATTCCAATTTACAAAATCATATTTAGATAACACCTGCTGATTTGCAGTGTGCATCTGTAACAATGAGGTAAAATAAATCTCTCTCCCCATTAAATCTAATCTCAGACTTTGTCTTTAGGTGTTGCCTTGTACCTTCCTTGTCAAACTCATTTGCAACCATTACAATAAGAGTTATGGTCTCAATGGAAGTAGAAACGCTCAAATCATTGCATACGTACATAGTACCACTTATCCGTATGCCCTACTGTGGGAGATAAGGAAGCAGAGGTATGCCACAAGGACTTTGCAAGCTCCAAAACAGCATAATTTATAGGGAGAGCTACCCTCACCAGGGATGAAGAATGTCTACCAATTCATAGGTATTCTCTGGGACAAACTCAGCTTGGATACCCAAGGCATCCCAAAGGTCCCAGGGAGGCCTCCGCTGAAATGAACATGGTACAGGACACCAGTATGTACTGGGCCAAGAACCTCTCCCCCTATTGGAACTGTGCCAGTCCTCGTACCCACAGTGGATACCCCAGAGACCTAGAAGACTTCCAACACTGTTTTTTGGAAGGAGGCAGATAGAGGACAACTCTTAGCCTGAGGAACCATTCAAATAATCTGCAGGCAAGGCAGGTGCTACCCTGGGGAGCCAGAAAGCATTCAGACTGCCTTAGGTACAGTAAGAATCCCACAGTGCTCAGAACAGTACAGTAGCCAAACCTGTGAGTACCAGTTGCAATACTGATGTGGGACTAATGCTCAGGACCAGAATGGCCATCAGTGCTGAGTAGGTCTGTACCGAATCTGAAGAACTGGTCTGTACCAAAAGTGTAGAAGCTGTGATTGTCATCAGGGCTGAACAGGATATCAGTTCCGACAAAAGATATCTCAGTGCTGATAATCGGACTGGATTCAATTCTGTAACATGATTCTTAATTGGTGCTGCGGAAGACACCAGAAACAGCCTGTAGTCTGAAGTAGCCAACCCAGATGGTCCTGGGGTCACAGAAGTCACCACCACACCTGAGGACTGCAGTATCAGAAGGAGTGTATGACAGAGAGGCAGAGTAAATCCACTGCTTCGTGGGGTCGATATAGTCAGTGCCAAGACTGAGGTAATCAGAACCGGATGCAACAGACATCCCACATTTCAAGGTTTCCCCTCTTTCCTCTATACCAGGAATTTTATACACAGAATAAAGAAGTTCCAAGCATACAGTAGGAGCCATAATCTCAGTACAACCTGAAGAAAATGCCTCCAAAGGTTATCTGTCAAGGCTATACATATAGACAGATTCTGTCCTCAGACTATTTAATAAAGGAAAGCAAGCTTCAGAATATACTGTTTACTATGACTGTCAACAAAAGCTCCTTTTAATCTTTTTTTGCACCACAGATCTCAAGAAGCAAGATATGATTCACATCAGATCTGGTCACCACTGATCACAGCTCCTACAGCTAAGGGAGAAACATTTGTCATGGCATAACTTCTCCCAGTTTTGTGCTCGCTAGTGTGATCTTCATAACCAAAACTGAAGAAAGAATATTTGAAGTCACCTTTGCAATGTAGACAACTTGTTGAGAATGAACTTCAAAGAAGCTCCTCTACATCCTAGTGCCTGCAGTGACTGATAAACAAAAACAGAAAGATGAAAAAGACAAATCCTTTCTTTGTATCACCTTTGAGTGTTACCCAGACAAGCTATAGCAGTCCTTATTTCCACCATTTTCCACAAGATTTCTTACCAACAGTCTCAGCAAGACTCAGTTCATCCAGGAAGTAACCTCTAGGTTTCTTCAGGTACTTCAGGAAATGCTTATCTTTTGATAGTCTGAGGAAAAGGAGAATTTGCTGAAGATTCAGACTTTGGATTAGGATAACAAGGGTCTCCAACTCTTATCTCCACTTCAGCAAATCGAAGCAGCCAGTCGCCCCATTGGTCTGGATTCCAGATCTAGACTTTACTTTACCAGCAGACTCCAACAACAGATCCTTGATTGTGTATCCCTAGGCTTTGAGAGGCTGCCTGGACACATCAACAAGTAATGCACCAAGTAGAACATCTCAGATTACTACCCTGCTTCCACCTACCTGCCCTCTCCCCACAACCCCCCACTCTTGCTTTACTCCTACAACCATGTAAGAAGCCCATCTGGTATTAATTGCTAAAGTTATAAATTTATGTTTTATGCCATCGGAAAAGTGGTATTCCAAACCAGTTATCACAGAGAAGCCATTATGTGCTAGCTCCTTCTCTTCAAAGAGAGCAGCTTCCAAATTCATATCAGAATTTCAGTGAAAGAGATATCAAGATGGTAACCAAAATATGTTTTTATAAACTCAAAAAGCTCATGGCCTGGCAGGATTAAAATTCCAAAGTACTTTAAGTTTAGCCCTGGGGTATTCAGGACACAACAAACAAAACAAAAAACAAAAAACAAAAGTCAGTTCCTTGGACCAGTATGGTTTTTTGGTTCAAGTCTAAGACTGACTACAGAAGTTCGAGACCTATGTAGTTTTCGATCCCTAATTGTCATTTTCTAATGAAGCCTTTACTACTACTATTACTATAATATTATTAGATTAGTACATTTCCGGTATTTAGTTCTGGGGCCAAAGTACCAGAGAAGTACTACTGCTACACCAGGGGCATGATTCTCATGAACCACCAGGTCTAGAAGTACTACTGGGATCTTTATTTAATATGGGAAAGTCTTTTTTTTCCACCCCCTCAAATGGTTATTCTCCTTTTACGAGACAGAAGTTCATTTCAGAAAGCAGTGGGACAGAACTGATGTCCTATCCATAGTTAAAAACAAGGTTTGTAGGCTCTATTTGTGCTGACCAGATATAGTGTTTAACATCTAGCTAGCAAATCCTACTTAAGCAGCAGTTACTGTTTCCCTGGCATGCACAAACACTGTATAAAAAAATTACACAAACATAGTAATCAAAAACTAGGAACTGAACCAAAAAATACAAGGAATCTAACAAAACATTTACGTTCCAAGGGTCTTCAGCTAAGAGAATTACAGTGACCTTAGCTACAAAAAGCTTCGCCAATTCTCCACACAATGCTTTCCAAAACATGCCACAGAATTCTAAGTTTCTATGCAGTGTTCAGCTAGGTATGCTATACATTAGAAGGGGAGTGGGGAGAAAAAAGATTTATAAATATTTGAAGAGACATTTTGTTTGTATGAAGTGAGAAATACTGAGTTTAATTTTCAGACAATATCAAGACTGGAGAAGCACAAAGCATGTGAATGACTTCAGAAGTAGGTCGACAATAGAAGAAGATCTCAATTGCTCTACAAAATTCCCTGTTATCCAGTGGGTCAGCTACACTAGATTTGAAGAACTAAGACTCGGGGGTCATTAGCTCCGAAAAAAAGGGATGAAGAGAATACATTAAGTGCACCTTTGAGCGCTAGACTCAGCCAAGTTGCCATGGAATCCAGAACCTATAAAGACTGCTAGGCCAAGACCCATTTCCTGTAGCAGAGGAAAGTCTGATCCTAGATCTTCACCAACCAATAGCAACAGATTGTCCACTCCAGCAACTGGAGAAAAGCAGCACAAAAAATACACCCAAATTAGAGATTACATCCTACACAGATTGGCAACTGCTTACCTACCTCCCCACAGTCTGGATGGGAGAGTCTGCCTGCAAGAGAACAAAGCCTGTACCACCACACACAGGTTCACAGTACTGCTGTACTCAACAGGAGCTGGTGTTTTCTGACCTGGCCTTTGTACTCAAAGGGAGTGAAGTGCATAAGATCAGAAGACAGTGCCAGAGAACCATGCCACTAAGCCTCACCCAAAGCCTTCTGTGTTAGACAGGGAAAACCTACAAGTGGATGGAGCGGGGGAGGGGGGAGAGGGGAGAAGAGAGAAAAAATTATAAATTTTAAACCGAACCAAAGAGCATCCAGAAAGACAGCTTCCTGGCAGTGGAGGCAGCCAACAAACCCCTCATGTAGGAGAAGTGCCACAAGAGAAGGCTGGTCTGTTTTTTAACCCATCTCCCCCTTCTGTAAAGGAGGCATAAAACCCACTGCCTGTACTGGCACAGGAGTCTGAGCAAAAACTCAGAATCTTACATGGAAACTGAAATATTTCAGTACAGTCAGAAGATTTTTAAAGTGTTCCTCAATATATTATTGCTTACTAAAAGTTCTATTCTTTATTTCTTCAGGCCACTGTCACAGATATAGCAATTCTTCCTAGGAGGATCACTCCCCTCAAGTTATTTTATAAGGTGGGACACAATCCTTTTTTTAATAGCACTAAACGGGCAAATTCAAAACCAATAAATGTAAATAAACGAGGAGTCCGACTGTGGAACTAATTGCTATAGGAAGTCATTAGCAAGGTTCAAAAGAAGTTGGACATTTATATGGATATCAAGACTATCCAAAAGGTATAATTAGTGATAATTTTGGAAGAGATATTAAGCATCATTCTGCACTTACAGACCAGGATGAAACACACCACCAAGATCAGATGTGACTATCCCACATCTTCATACTGCTGGGTTCTTGCATCTTCGTCTGAAACAGTGGTTCTCAACCTTTTGGGGCTCAGGACCCTTTTGTAAACCTTGATGGCCTGTCATGACCCAATTAATAGCTTTAGTATAAAAAACATCTGGTTTACTAAGTATTTTTTTTACCCATGATATAATATACACATTAACTTAGTAAGTACTAGATAAGTACACCATGTAACCCAGGGGTTCTCAAACTGGGGGTCGGGACCCCTCAGGGGGTCACAAGGTGTCAGCCTCCACTCCAAACCCTGCTTTGCTTCCAGCATTTATAATGGTGTTAAATAGATTTAAAAAGTGGTTTTAATTTATAAGGTGTGGGGGGGGTCACACTCAGAGGCTTGCTATATGAAAGGGGTCACCAATACAGAAGTTTGAGAACCACTGATGTAACCCAATAAGTACATTTAGGTGACCACTCGTTGAGAAAACCTGACCTGAAACATATGGTACTGGCCACTGTCAGAGAGAACACTAAACCAGATGAACCTTAGAGGCCTGATCCAATACGTAAACTCCTATATTACCTCTGTTCTCTTCCTTAAAAAAAAAAAAAAACTAATGAACACACTAGTGACTTTTTAAAAGTCTACTTACAGCATCTAGACACAACTGTACCTGCAAAGGATAAATCCAGTTCCATATGTGCCTGCTATTGACATCAGCTGCAGAAAACCTGGAGAAATAGCTTTTTGGAGGTTCTTTCTCCACCAAATCTGAATAAAGATTTCTCCCACATAGTGTTACTGAACTAAACTGGTGCATAACTACACCATATCCTTTAATATTGTGCTATAAAGTCTGGTCTAGTAAGGCTTTCATACATTGCTTTTACCATTATTGGAATTAGCTTTACAAGTTTGGAACTCAAGGAGTTTGGGCAGTGACTACTGATCCATTCTGTTAAGTCTCTCCATATACACATATTTCAAGGAAAATAGAGTCCTAGGCAGTTTACTGAAATATTTTAGTTGCCTAAAATATGTTTTGGGTTTTTAAAAAGTACTTGGCTAGACAGCCACCAGCTAATTTTAACTATTAAAAACTCTTCTTCAAAATTACATGAATCAGATAACAGCTAATTAAGTTTAGGAACAAGCCATCATAGGAGCAGATTTATTTAATTTCATCTGAACACACCCTCTTTTTATGAGCATGTGCCATTTAAAACAGAATGAAATAACTGTTCAAACAATTTAAGTCTCTCTAACAAGACACAAAACAAAGATTCCTGGGGGAAAACTGACATGAAACTCATAATTCATTAGGAATAAGAATTTCTACACGTTAAACACTGACAGAATAATAGTGCCCTAAGCCCCTGAAGGTTTTACTGTACTCTTCAGAGAGGCTAGCGCTCGGGGACCTGAAGCAGAGAGTACAAAGATGTAGCCCAGCTGGCTATGACACTCCGATGACCCTTCACTGCACTCAAGTGGTGGTGGGGAAACGGGGAGAGGAGAGAAGAAAAACCTGAGAACAGACTAAGGCCAGCTGCACTGCTGGTCCCATCCCTCAAAGAGAGTTTTCTAGATGTTCTTTCTTCAGAAAAAAGTTTGTTTTAATTAACATTTAGAATAGAAAGTAAGATAAAACAGTGCATAGTGAAACCACAGGACAAACTAGCTGAGCCTTATAAAGGGAAATCCACATCTCTGTGGATTAGAAACAAGTAGATAAAAATTATTTAGCCCTTTAAAAGGTTTCTAAATACAGTCCCACACAAGAGGTTAAAAAGGAATCTTATTAACTACAGAGTGACAAGTCCTGTTATAGTTTAAAACTGGTTAAAAGACCAGAAGCAACAGAGTAGGAATAAACAGCCAAACTCTCACCAGGGAAAGCGGTTAATAATGGGATACCCCACAGGTGAGTTAAGGTTGGTGTTCTCTGTATTGATTAATAACCTGAAAAAGGATGAATAATGAAGTGGCAAACAGTTTTGTTTTTTTTTAACACTTAAAAACAAAGAAGAAATAAAAAAAACTGTAAAAACCTACCAAGATCAGATGTTTTTCCAGAAGATCTGCTTTAGGAATTATTTTGGGGAAGTTCCATGGCCTGTGTTATATAGGAGGTCATGCTAGATAATCACAAGGGTCTTCTCTAGCTTTGGAATCTATGACTCTAGTATGGATTGTAAGGATCTTCAAAAAGTCCCAACAAAAACAACTCGTGAAGTTAGGGATCCACAAGGCCAATCTAGTAGAAACTGGAAGGAATAATTTCAGCTACTTTTATACAGTTATTGGTTCTGAGTTTAAGAAAGGGAGCTATTTATGTAGACAATTCAGTAGGCAGTAACGGTTACAGCAAATAAAGAGAGAAAATATATATGCATAGATTCCAAAATTGACTGCAAAGATTACAAAGGGATCTCACAAAACTGGACGACAGGGCAACAAAATGGCAGATGAAATTCAATGTTGATAAATGCAAAGTAATGCACACTGGAGAACATAATCCCAACTATACATACAAAATTATAATGTGCAATTTAGCTGTTACCACTCAAGAAAGAGTCACTGTGGATAGTCCTTTGAATGTCTGCTCAAGATGCAGCACTAATCAAAAAAGCTAACAATGTTAGGAACCATTCGGAAAGGGATAGATCAGACAGAAAATATCATGCCACTAAATAAATCCATCGTATGTCCACACTTGGAATACTTCTTGCAGTTCTTGTCGTCCCATCTTAAAAAAAAAAGGATATATTAGATTTTGAAAAAGTACAGAGAAGGTGAACAAAAATTATTAGAGGCATTGAACAGTCTTCATATGAGGAAAGATTAAAAAGACAGACTGTTCATCTTAGAAAAGAGATGACTATGAGTAGGTATGATAGAAGCCTATAAAATCATGAATGGTATTGAGAAAGTGAAGGAGGAAGTATTATTTACCCCTTCACATAATGCAAGAACCAAGGGTGTCACAATGAAATTAATAGGTACAGTAAAAGCTGTGTCATGCAGCCCTGCACCAACAGAAAGCTCTATAAATGACATTTCTTATCTTCATAGAAAGTCTGATTTATAGTCCGGCCAATGGGAGCTGCTGGGCCAGACTATAAGTTAAAAAAAGCTTTTACTGTAGTAGGTTTAACAAACATAAGGAAGCACTTCAACATAGTTAACCTGTAGAACTTGTTGTCAGGGGATGCTATGAAGGCCAAAAGTATAACTGGGTTAAAAAAAGAATTAGAGAAGTTCACGGAGGATAGGTCCATCAATGGCTATTAGCACAAAGTAGTCAGGGACATAACCCCGTCCTCTAGTTATCCCTAAATATCTGACTGCCAGAAGCTGGAATTGGATGACAGGGATGGATAACTCAACAAGTTGCCTAGGTTTGTTCATTTCCTCTGAAGCATCTGGCCCTGACCTGTCAGAAGACAGGCTACTCAGCTAGATGGACCATTGGTCTGATCCAGTATGGCCATTCTTATGTAACATATAATAAAATGCATTTACCAAGTACCTTTGACCACCTCACCTACTCTGCCCACTGACCCTTCTCCCAAGGACGATTCTAACATTCCACACTTCTCAAAAGCTTCAAACAGCTGTTCTGGTTACATAAATAAGCCTTCCTGAAAAGTTGTTTTTTTCTTACTCTCCCTAAAAGTGAAATTTGCCTGTTTAAGGCCTCAGGCCAGGTGGAAAACGTTCAGCTTAAGGTCTGATACGTCATGACCTTGTGTGGCTCCAAAAAGGAGCTTTATATACCTCTAACCATGGAAGCGCCCATAATATTTGACTGTGTGTGTCATGGAAAGCTATTAACAGATTTTTAAAACTTACAAAATCACTTATTTCCCCTTCAGTCCTGTACAGTCAGACCTCTGCATTTTAAGGCACTTGGCTTTATGGATAGAGAGATTCAAAATTTCACTGGAATCATTTTAAGACTAGTTTATTTCTACAGTAGTTAAATATTGTACATTAGTGGTTTTGTCAGCCTTATTCTTCAGGGCAAATCTGAATTTTTCCCTCCCACGGTATAGTTCTATTCAATGTAATGCAATAAAGAAAGTTTACACATCCTCCTCTGAAGGATCCAGATTTAGCTTCTACCTCTAGAAAGAGGATCATAGCCTGGTATCTTCACAGTCAATATGGTAGTCCTTATGTTCAATGCACCACTTTGTCACCAGAGGGTTTTTGTTTATTTTAAAACAAACACACACACACACACACACACTAAAGTGTCCCCCAAAACACCTTCAATATATTTAACAGAAAAGCCAACAAGAGAAAAATTATGTGAGAACAAATGGATATAGGATTAGTTATGTAAGTGAACTCTACAGGCATACACGTGTCATTTAAAAAGGCTTTTTGCTGTATCATCTATCTTGAAAGTGCACAAAACAGATACAAGATACAGTGCACAACAGACAAGACAGCTCCATTCTGCAGCCCAAACTTACTCTCAATCAAGACTAAACATATGTAGCAGCTTATTACTAACAGTAAACTTTCAAAAAGAAAGTGTGAACTCAGGAAATAGGGAAAACACTTTCTAGGTATTTAAAAAGCGACACTGCGAGGCCCGAAATTTAGGCTATTAAATTTAAAAACAGAACTATGTTTTTTACTATTGCATGATTGTGAATTTTATTTAGATTTAAACATTTGTCTGTAGCATTTGTAATCCCAAACATCATAGCAGAATAATAGAGCATGGAAACCAAAAAGTGAAATGACCCCCCCTTTTCATTTCTTTTGGGAAATGCAATGTACAGGGTAGAAGCAGCATAAGGATTGAAGAGTGTGCATTTTCAGTTTTAATCCCAGAAGGTATTTGTAGTATAGTTAAGGCCACAACTCTTCCAAGTTTATTTTAACTACTCTCCTGTAAATAAAAACAAATTCAGCTG